ATTCCCTGCCCCACCCCATCTAGGGAGCCTGGCTCCTTGTGGGTGGTCCTCTAATTGGCTCTCACCTCCCTGTAACCCAGGAGAGCGTGGGCGCAGGGGCGGTGTTAGTCCTGGTGCTGTGTGGGCCTGATCCATGGTAGGAACCTGGTGAATGGATACTTCCCTGAGTCGTTGAGATCTCTTCCCTGCCCCATCCCCAACAGTGCACAGGCCTTGGAACAGGGGTCATCGAGGGGAGGGTGAAGACTGGATTTGCCGCAACTGTGCCCCAACCTGGTCATAGAAAGGGCCCATTTGTCTGCTCTGCATTCGGAGCCCAGACCTTTGTTACTGGGTCTTGGGGAGCAGGGCAGGGAGCACTGGTCTGTGGTCATCTGCTCAGTGCTCCTGGCCGCGTCATGCCCTCCAGCCTCTCTGAATTCAAGGCCCCTCCTTGCAGCCGTCTGCCTGCCCAACCAGTTCCGGTGCGCCAGCGGCCAGTGCATCCTCATCACACAGCAGTGCGATTCCTTTCCTGACTGCATCGACGGCTCCGATGAGCTCCTGTGTGGTGAGCTGGCTTCTGCAGGGGGCTCACCAGGGCGGGGGTCACCCCATGCTGGGGTTCTTCCTGGGACTGTGCAGTCTTGAGGGAGGAAATGGCGGGTACTGAGGAGGCTGGGAGGTCGAGAGTATTTAGCCTTGGCAGGGAGGCAGGGAAGACTTCATGGAAGTGGAGACTGCTGTGAGGAGGGGAAGGGGAGACTGTGAGCCGAGGGGCATTCCAGCTGGGACAGAGGCAAAGAGACAGGCCCCTTTTGGAGAAGGCATAGGTCGGTGGGACTGACTGTGCCGTGTAGGGCAGTGTGCTTCTGCCCAGAGACCTCACTCGGCATCTGTCAGGCAAGATCACCCTAATGAAATGGGGGTGGGCCCCTTCCCTGGCAGCCTGCTGTCTGGCTGAGGAGGAGAGATGCGCACGTGCAAACACACACACGGACGTGCTGCATGCCCCTTGAGAGACATGGCCTGTATATTCAGGGACACAGGGGTCAGAGGATGTGAAACCAGGGCAGTCAGGGAAGGCTTCCTGGAGATAGTGGCTACTGAAAGGCTGTCTGATTCAGACAGGAAGTGGGAGTATGTCCCTGTGTGTGGGGATATGGCCACTTCATTCACTGCAGAGGGACCTGGGCTGAGAGTTTTGACTGCAGGATGGAGAAGTCTAGTGAGTGGGGAAGAAGGATGGATCCCCACGGGACTCACCAAGCACTTTCGCACCTTCATGTCAGCCTCCATCCCTCCCGCCTTCCATCAGTGGGTGCCTGGCAGGGCAGAAGCAGTCCCTCCAGGGCACACAGTACTGGCCCCCTGCAGGAGGGTCTGCTCCTTTCTGGTTCACACCCGCCATCTCTTCCTGCCCGTCCTCTGGCAGAAATCACCAAGCTGCCCTCGGATGACAGCCCCGCCCACAGCAGCGCCATCGGGCCGGTCATTGGCATCATCCTCTCGCTCTTCGTCATGGGCGGGGTCTACTTCGTCTGCCAGCGCGTGGTGTGTCAGCGCTACGCAGGGGCCAATGGGCCATTCCCGCATGAGTATGTCAGTGGGACCCCCCATGTGCCCCTCAACTTCATCGCCCCTGGTGGCTCTCAGCATGGCCCCTTCCCAGGTAGGAGCCTGAGACGTGCAAGGGCTCTGGGCAGAGGAGGGGGTGGCAGCCTGGGCAGGACGTGGCGTGAGTGGATCAGGAGTGCTCTTTGGACTTGACCGAAGCTGTCCTCATGGGGTGTGTCCCAAGTTGTCAGCTGGGGACAGCTGGGTGGGGACACATCTCACATAGAACTTCCTCACCTGAATCTGGGTCTCATGGGCAGCAGAGCACGTGCACTGTGTTCGTGGGGCACCGGGTCCCTGACCTGCCCTGTCCCCCTCCCCCCACAGGCATTTCATGCAGCAAGTCCATGATGAGCTCTGTGAGCCTGATGGGGGGGCGGGCTGGGGTGCCCCTCTACGACCGGAACCACGTCACTGGGGCCTCGTCCAGCAGCTCGTCCAGCACCAAGGCCACGCTGTACCCGCCGGTGAGTGGGGGCAGGAGGAGGCCTGGCTGGGGGGCACATCTCGTGACCTCAGGATTTCTGGAGAGATTAGCTGTTCCACTGCTTAGAATGGTGGGTGCAATGCCTGACCTGTAGGTTTTCTCTTTTAATGACATCATCTTCTACTTAGAAAAGAGTTCCCCTATTCGTTGTGGATAATCTGGAAGCCACAGAAATATCTAAAAAGTGGAGGTCTCACCCAGAATTCCCACCTCCCAGTGTTACTGCTGGGCGTTGTCGTGTCCGGGCGGCGGTCTTTGTCCTGTGCAGGCTGCCCCATCCTCAGGGCCTGTCTGGATGGGGTGCCTGAGCCAGCTTCCCTTCAGCGTCCCCACTAGAAACACCCGATTTTCCTGCCCAAGGCCTTGCTTGTTCCCAGACAGCAGCTGGATTGTTTTCCAAGGACAGGCACTCACAGGGCGCCTTTCGTGGCTGAAAATGCTTGCTCCCTGGAGCTTCCAGCAGCCCACATGGGGTGAAGGGCTGGCCCTTGGCCAAGCTGCACTCTAGGATGAAATGTTTGTCCAGGGCATGAGATGCTGAAGCCCCAGTGTTCTAGCCGCACCACAGCATCCCAAGAGGGGACCCTTTCCCCAAGGCTGGCTGGGAAAGACCCCTACTTCCAAAAGCACGACCGTGGGGTAACTGGGGCAGGCTGGATGCATGGATGTGAATCTGGGGAAACGTTAACGTCAGGTTCTATCTCCATGTGTTCCTGTGCTTTTTAATTCTTTGAAACCTGACTTCTGGTGATGGTGTGATTGTCTAAAGTGAAGACAGCCCCTTGAGCTTTCTCGGGCCACCAGGGCTGGGCCTTCCTGTACTTATGGGCATAGTGTACACATCCAGGGTGTAGTCCTTCCCTATCGCTCCTGATGCTGGCAGGGCCTAGGTGGGAGCGGGCAGCAGGGGTCATTATCTCGGATTTGCAGGATGGGACCTGAGTCTCCTGGAGGCTCCAGGGCTTGACTGTTCTTTGGAGGCAGAGGGCACAAGGAACCAGAAGCCTGGAGTTTAAGAATTCTCCTCAGCCAGGGTCGTCGGGGTAGAGCTTAGTGGAAGAGTGCATGCTTAGCATGCACAAAGTTCTGGGTTCAATCCCCAACACCACATACACACACACAAAAGAACCCATACTCCCCAGCATTCCTCTCTTCCTCCCTGCTGTTACTGTCTCCTGACTCTCAGATGCCCCATGTAAGCAGCTAGAAGCACCAGGACCCCGAGTAAGACCAAGCTTACTCCAGGACAGACCCCTGGGGCCCCCCATGCTGCCACGAGGACACTCGAGAAACTGGCTTCTCCATCCCCAGCCCCTGCTGGGAACTGGGGGAACCCTACTCGGCAGCAAGAGATGACACTGACCAGCAATTTTTAGAAACAGCTTTATTGAGATATAATTCACATACCATACAGTTCACCCACATGAATTGTACCATTCGATGGTTTTTAGTATATTTGGAGTCGTGCAGCCAGCACCACGGTTAATTTTAGAACATGTTCATCATCCCCAAAAGAAACCCTGCACAGAGCCAGCTATTTTTAAATTAACTACGTTGGTTTGCATCAGTAATACAGGTTCATGGTGCAGAATTCAAAAGGTGCAATAGAACGCACAGTGAAAAGAGCTCCCCCGCCAACCCCAGTCAGGTCTCCCCCCTGCCCCGAGGCACAGCCTATGGTGAGTTTCCCGTGTGTCCTCCCAAGGGAAACCTGTGCATAAGTGGGATTACGAGAGAATGGCTTAACTATCCCAGCAAAGAGAGGAATTTTTGCTTCTTTTTACTTTTCTAGAAATTGTAGATTTACATTCAGTTGTAAGAAATAATACAGAGAGGTCGCATCTCCCCTTCATCAGTTTTCCCTGGTGGTTATCTTAGCTCCTTCGTGCTGCTGTAACAAAACACCATAGCCTGGGCAGCTTAAACACGCATTTATTCCTCACAGTTCTGGAGGCTGGGAAATTCAAGATCAAGGTTCTAGCAGGTTCGACTGATGTCTGTTGAAGGCGTGGTTCCCAGTTCATAGTGGCTGTCTTGTCTGTATATGGTGGAAGGGGTGAGGGAGCTGTCTGGGGTCTCTTGTTTTAATTGATTAAAAAAAATGTTTGAGGGGGGAGGTAATTAGGTCTCTTTCTTTCTTTATATTATTTATTATTATTGTTAATTTATTTTTACTGGGTATTGAACCCAGGACTTTGTGCATGCTAATCACACACTCTACCACTGAGCTCTACCCTCCCTCTTGAGGGGTCTCTTTTTAAATATTTATTTATTTGTTTGTTTGTTTTAAATGAAGGTACTGGGGATTGAACCCAGGACTTCGTGCATGCTAAGCATGCGCTTTACCACTGAGGTATACCCCCCCCCGTCTCTTTTTTTTTTAAGGGCACTGATCCCATTCATCAGGGCTCCACCCTTGTGACCTAATCACCTCCCAAAGGCTGTACTTCCTAATACCATCATGTTGGGAATTAGGTTTCAGCATATGAATTTGGGCGGGACACAAAACGTTCAGTCTACAGCAGGAGTACAGTGTCCTAATCAGGGCATTGACAAGATAGCCTTCGGCTTTATTCAGATTTCACCAGTTTTACATTCGCACTTCTTTTTTTAAAGCTGTCTTTTTAAAAAATTTTTCCAAATACCCGTTTCCCCCCCTTGATCAACATCCCTGACCACAGTGAGACGTTTGTGACAGTCCGTGAACCTACACGTCATCACCACCCTGAGTCTATAGTTTACGTCAGAATTTGCCCGTGGTGGTGTATGATTGTGTGGGTTTGGACAAATGTGTGATGAGATGTATCCATCCATTATAGTCTCATACAGAGTAGTTTCATATAAACTTTTTAAAACCCACATGGTAGCGTCTGAAGGTAATGGTAACTCCTCTCTGAGCTTTGCTTTTCGCTGCCAACGATAAGTAAAACTGGCATTGACCCAGCACTTCTGAGGCTCCCCGCTGAGAAAATCCACTTTCCCTGTGCTACATCACCCCGGCTCCAGAAGGGGGCGCCATCGCTGTCCCATTTTGCAAATGAGGAGGCCAAGCAACTGAGTGGTAACTACTCACCTGAGGCGGTTGTGTTGGAGCCGACCACTCCCTACCATGCCTCTCCTGCACCCTCAAGTTTCTTTTGCTTGGTGGCTAAGCAGCTCCCTTTGTTGGCTGGGGCAGCTGGGCCACCCCAGTGGGTGTCCAGTCGCTCCCGGGCGGGATCTTGTTACTCCACCAGGGCCTCCCGGGACTCCTGCACTTTCCTCATGTCCCTCCTGAAGGGAGGCCGCAGGAAGAGGCTGGCTGCAGAGGCCGAGTGTTGGTCACCTTGACCTCTCTTGCCAAGTGGCCCTCACGAGGGAATAGTCCGTCTTCCCGCCAGCAGAGGGCCACACCAGCACGACTGTCCCTCCCAAACACACTCTCTTCAGGTCTAATTTAGGGTAGAAATGGCGTGGTGCTGTCATTTTAATTTATACTTCTCTCGCTGCATGTAGCATCAGATATCTTTTTGTGTGTTTAATAACTGCTGTAGTTTCATTTTCTCAGAAGGGTGAATTTATGTCCTTTTTCTATTGGGTTATCAGTATTTTTAATTCATTCGTAAGGGCTTTTTGTATATAGAGAGAGATACAGTAAGAACAGCAGCCTATTGCCTGGGATATGTGTTGAAAATATTTTTCTAAACTTTTTATCTTTTGGTTTGGTCCATGTTGTGTTTTGCTGTGTATACAACGAAACTATCAGTCTTTCATGGGAATTTGGGGGTTTTTTGGTCATGCTCAGAAAGGCTTTATCTGCTTGTAAGAAATAATTTCTTTCCATGTCCTCTTTCTTAACGCTTTCAAGGTTTCATGTTTATATTGAGAACTTTGATTCTCCTGGAATGCAGTTAGGTGTACTGGGTGAGGCGGGAGGCATCCAACTTTATTTCTGTGCTGATGGCTACCAGGCAGCCTTTATTTACTTATTTTTTAAATGCAGTCTTTTTTTTTTAGCAATTTTTTTGTTTGTTGTTGTTGTTTTGCGGGGGAGATAATTTTGTTTATTCATTAGGTAATTAGGTTTACTTTTGAATGGAGGTCCTGGGGGTTGAACCCAGGACCCGGTGCATGCTAAGCACAAACTGTACCACGTGAGCGATACCCTTCCCCCAGGTGGCCTTTATTAGTCGAAGTCCAATCAGGAGACAGAAACCACACGGTGATTTGAACAGAGAAAGTTTAATATACAGAATTATTAGCAGGGGTTGGAATTGCAGGGAATTGGCCAGTGAGAGGTAAAGAGAACTCCGGAACACAGGAAAGGCAGGTCAGCTGAGAGGAAGAGACTGAGGACGAGCCCCCAGCTGCTGCTCACCAGATGACCGAGAAGTTGCTGAGGTGCTGTACCAGCCGAACTTGCTAGAAATCTGCCCACTGCAGTATTGGACAGACTCCTCGACCTTGCCTTGCTCAGTGCCCTGCAGGAAGTGGCACTGACAGCTGCAGAGGAGGGATTTGGGCAGGATCCCCAAGCTTGCTTTGGAGGCAGAAGTGAAGAGAAGCCAGACCCAGTCAAATTCATGGGTAGATGCAGAGACGGGACCCCACAGGCTGGGGCACAGGGGCAGCTGGGGGAGGCCCTTCTTGCTGGGCTTCTGTGCCTGGTTTCTGCTCCCCTCTCTGAACACCGCCCTCGGCGCCCCCCCCCCAATATTGTGCCTTCCCAACCTTGGGGTCAAATCCTGAGGAATCCCCAAGCTGGCTGTTTGTGCTAAAGAGGACCCCCCACCCCGGCCCCAGAATAAGGAGAGGAGTCTATGCCAGTTCCTAAGGGGCAGGAGGAAGGCGTGGGCACTTCGTGTATGTTACTCACCAAGAGTCAGGATAGCCTTGGGAAGCCGTCTTCTTAGCCCCATTTTAGAGATGAGGATGCGGAGGCCTATAGAGGTGAAGCCCCTCAGCAGGAGGCATGCTGCCACGGAGGTGATAAAACAAGACTCAGCCCCCTGTCAGGATCCACACCATGCTTTTTCCCTACCCTAGGGACCTCGGGGAATTCAGTCCTTCAGGGCACATGGGACAGTCCTATTCTGTCAGCTGTAGGGGTGCCAGAAGCGGTATCTGGTGGTGCCCCCTGCAGGGACAGCTGGAGGAGGTGGGGGTGCTGGCGGCAGTGGTTGCTGGGGAAAGTGCAGACTTGGTGGGTGCCTTGGCCCCAGGTCACTCTGTCCCTTTTGTGGGGCCTGGCTCTGGAAGGCATGTTCACATGCTAGAGTTGTGTATTTATTATCACATTTTGGGGCAGTATAGTCCTAAGAAAAGGGCACCCTCTCCTGGTTTGCTGAGAGGGTGGGGAGGGCAGGCAGCAGGGCTGGGCCCCTCCCTCCGCATGGCAGCCCCTGGCACAGGTCCCCTGAGTGTTCAGAATAAGGAGTGAATTACAGGGATTAGACTGTGCACCATGTGGGAGGATGGAGAAGTCCAAGTCCAAAAGGGGAGCCGGCAGAAAAGTCCCAGTGGAGCCTGGCAGGGCACTCTGTGGCACAGTGGTGACACTCTGGGGCCTGCTCGGAGGTGGGGTCCCTGAGCCCACAGCCAAGTGTCCAGAACTAGGCCTGGGGTCACCAGTGGTCAATGGGTGGGCCCTGGCAGCCACCCTGCTCTCCCCTCCGCGTGCCCACCCTCAGGGGCCCAGCTGCTGCTTCCCCTTCCCGGACCATGAGGGGTTGGGGAGGCACCAGCTGCACCCCTCCCCTGTGGGCGGGGAAACTGGGAGGGCGTGATGGGTGGCGGGGACCGCAGGCTCAGTGTGACCTTGCTTGGCTCCCCTCAGATCCTGAACCCACCGCCATCCCCCGCCACGGACCCCTCCTTGTACAACGTGGACGTGTTTTACTCTTCCAACATTCCTGCCACCGCCAGGCCCTACAGGTACGGAGCCGGGCGCCTGCGGTACCCGGGCCTGGTCCCTGTTTCCTAGGGGAGAAAGCAGGAGGTGGGGAGCGCCGGAGGCTCTACGCTGGGGACCCTGCTTCCCCAGCCCTCCTGCCCCTCGGGCTACCCTGGCCGCCTCCCAAAAAGAGCAAATGCGCCTGCTCCTGAGTTCAGAAACCACCAGGATCCCACATGCGGAGGGGGCTCGGGAGGTAGCCCCTGTGGTATTTTGGAAGCCAGGGCAGTCGTGCCCTTGAAGGACGCCCCCAGGGCTCCCCCCGCCCCAGACCCAGGGCCCTGCCTGTGCTTGAATCCCATGCTGGGACCTGGGCAGGGACGCCACTCCTTGGTCCCCATAAGAATGAAATCCACATCCGCGGGGTGCAGCGAGGCGGGCCCTGGATGGGGCGATCCTCTCTCCTTACTGCAAGGGCCTGTTTGACTCCAAAAACCACATAGGCCTGCTCAGCACCCCACGCTGTCCATATTGGGGTTGCACGCCCCACCTCCCTGGTGGGGAGGGGCTCCTGGAGAGCGTTGAGGGTGAACAGGGTGGGGTACCTGGCCTGCATCCCGCCATGTCAGAGCTGGTGTGGGTGAGGTGAACCTGCGGCCCTTCCACCTGGTGGCCGTGGCCAACTGGTCCCACCCACCAGGTGCCCTGGGTCCCTTACCCCCAAGCGGGCTACCTGATAGTGAAGGTGGGGGTTGGGTCCCTGCCAGGCCTGCCCGCTGCGTGGGGAGCAGGGCCTTGGGGCGCTTCACCCTCCTGGAGCCCTGGACCCTCCAAACGGCGCCGCCTGCCATCTGGTGGCTGGTTTGGGAACTCCAGGACCTAGAAGGGGAGCAGGGCAGCTGTGCCGATCCCGGAGGGGCTGGGCCCTTTACTGGGTCACTGCCCTGTTCAGGAAAACTGCGTGGCTCCCCAGTGCCTCAGTGTCACAGTCTGTCTCCAGGGCTGTCACATCCACACCAGCCAAGCCAGGCCCCTTGGCCTCCAGTCTACCTCACGCTTTGCTCATTCTGTCCTGATTTGTTTCCACCTCCAAAACCTCTGCCCTCTGTGCTGTCTGTCCGGCCCCCTTTTTGCTCCCAGGGTTCCGGGAGGCGTGCTCCTGCTGCAGCTTCCTCAGTGCAGGTGTCCCTCCCTGGCTCTTTGGTGCTGACTCCACCTTCCTGCCCATTGTGAGCCCCACTATGGCTCCAGCACACTGTGATCCCACCTAGGACTCAGGCCCAAAGGCGATTCATCTTGAGGGGCAGTTGGGAGACACCTGGGGCATCAGCTTTCTTTAACTCAGGATGGGACTATCCCAGGCCACTTGGTCTCCAGTGATTACAGTAATAAGAGAAGGGGGAATGGTTGTTGAGCACTTTCTGGTGTTAGGCACTGTTTCCAGCACTTCCCATGCAGAATTAATCCTCATAAGCCCCTTTTGAAATGGATGATGTTTCATCCTCTCCATTTTGTCCATGAGAAACTGAAGCTCAGGGAGGTTAAGTAAATTGCCCAAGATCAGCCAGGTAGGCTGTGGAGGCCTCGTTCCCCATAAAGGCAACCTTGGCCTGGGGCTGCAGTCCTTGCAGGGTAGGTGCAGGTGTGCCCACTTTACAGGTGGGGATGTTGAGGGCTCAGGGAGGCCGCACAGCTGGGGCACCCCAGAGCCTGATGGGTGGAGAGGCACGTGGGCCACTCTAAATCAAGGACCCTTTTCCCATTCTTCATTCCCGCCAGGCCCTACATCATCCGCGGCATGGCACCCCCGACAACGCCCTGCAGCACAGACGTGTGTGACAGCGACTACAGCGCCAGCCGCTGGAAGGCCAGCAAGTACTACCTGGATTTGAACTCGGACTCAGACCCCTACCCACCCCCGCCCACGCCCCACAGCCAGTACCTGTCGGCGGAGGACAGCTGCCCCCCTTCACCCGCCACCGAGAGGAGCTATTTCCACCTCTTCCCGCCCCCTCCGTCCCCCTGCACAGACTCGTCCTGACCTTGGCCGGGCCACCCCGGCCTCTCTGCCCCCCTGTAAATAGTTTTAAATATGAACAAAGAAAAAATATATTTTATGATTTAAAAAATAAATATAGTTGGGATTTTAAAAAACATGAGGAATGTGAACAGTGATGGGGTGGGCAGGGCTGGGAAAACTTTGTACAATGGAGAAAATATTTATAAACCTAATTTTTTAAAACATCATTGCCATTCTTTCATGCCACGTGTGTTCGAGTTGAGTGTCCCCACAGAGCGAACGCCAGCCTCTGGCCCTCCCTGGACGGCTTCCTGTGCACTGGTCTTCCTGAGCACCGGCATCTCCCCATCGGGCTCCCAGGGCGGGCGGGGGCGGTGAGACCTGTGGACAGGGGCCCTCAGGCAGGGCAGCTTCATGGATGCTTGGCTTATGTACGGCTCGATGCTTGATTTCATGCTCTTCTGTTGCTATCCTGAAATTCTGAATCATTTTTAAGATCAAAGCCCTGTATTTTCAGTTTGCATTGGGCTCTACAGATTACATACCTGGGCTTTGGGCCCCTGGCCAGTCCCTGCTGACATCTGCCCTGAGTGTGTGCCAGCCCAGGGCTGCAGTTGCGCATCAAGACAGTGCTGGGGGCCAGGGGCCCCTCCTGGCCCTGCCATCCGTGTTGACCCCCGTGGATGGGGCTGCCAGGCCACACCGGCCCCAAGCAGGGAAGGGAGCCCCCCTGCCCTCTCCGGGCCCCACCTTGTCCATTTCTGCAGACAGGCCGGGTGGAGCCCTGTCCTCAGAGATGGTCAATACACACTGCCTGCCCCATGCCCACCCAGGTGGTACTGGAGGCAACATGGATCAGGCCTGGTCCCTGCCCCTGGGGTCCCCAGTCTCTGGAAGGAGACAGAAATCAGTAAGTAATGATGTGTCAGGAGGAGGCTGGGCTGTTCTGGGGCCAGACAGGAAGAACCATGTTCCCAGCGTAGGGAGGAAGGAAATGCAACAGCCAGGAAGGGCCTGACCCCAACCAGGATGCGGAGGGAGGTCAGGGGAGAACGATGTGGAGTGCTGGATGCGCTCTCTGAGAATCAAAATTCAAAGATCGGGAAGAAGTGCTTCCCCACAAGCCCCTGAGATTGCACCTTGACCCACAGGGCCTGGAGTATGGAGGTGACAGCTAAGGGTGGGGAGCCCACCAGCTGCTGGACAGTCTCCAAGATGTGGATCCCAGAACACATGGCAACCCTGCTGCTCCAGTGCTGAAGAGGTGGGACAGGAAGGATGATGGCCCAGAGAGCTCCAAGACAGCTGGTTTGGCCAGGGGACAGAGCTGGGGATGGGCCTGGTTTCCTGGGACGGACCTTCAGGGACTTGCCTCTCCTGCCCTGACTGCCATGGTGTTCCCCCAGGTCCTGGGTCAGCACGGCAGTGATGGAGACAGGTGGACTTGCTGGTGCTCCTGCTGCTGGGACCTCTTGAGAGCAGGTGGTGGGGCAGGGGTGACCTGCCATCAGTGCTGAGCAACAGCATGGGAGTCCTGTCCTAAGTGCCCACCCCAGGCCGCCTGAGCCCCCAGCAGGGGTTTACACTCGAGGTCCCTTTGTGACCAGAAGCATCAGACCTGACTCTGGAAAGCTTCATCTCTTATCCACTTTATCCACTGCTCTGTCTGTCCAGAAAGGGTGCCATCACCCGCCGCCGGGGCTGTTGTCAGGCTCCCACGAGATAAGGCCTGTGAAGACGCCTCGCCCCGTCGGGGGCCTGGCAGGTCGTTGGTAAGTGGGAGAGGTGACATACTTGCCCAAGCTCATAGCGCTAAGGACCAGCAGAGCTAGAGGGTGCATCCATCTCCCAAGCCCAAGGTGGGGAGCTGCCTGTAGAGGCTCAGGGCTCTGAGCACTTGGGCCCTGCACCCTGAGGGTGCTAATTAAAGCACCAGTCTCCATGTGAGCAGCCAGTGGAGCAGGCGGCACCTTTGCTGAATCAGAAGCAGCAGCTGCATCATGGGGAGATTTCCCCTCTAGTCTCCTGCTCAGCCAGCCCGTCTGCTTGGGTGGCCAGGGGTCTGGGAAGGGGTGGGGGAGGGGAGGCGGAGCTCCTGCCCCCTGGCAGCCTGTGTGCGCACTGGGAAGAAGGTGGAACCACCCTCCTAGAGGCCCTCCTCCTTCCCCTCCCTCTCCCCTGGCATCCTGGTAGAGCCATTGCATGGCTATAGGTGCCAGAGGCCACTTCTCTGGACCCCTTCCCGCCATGCGGCCAGCAAAGGGGAGTGAGGGTCAACTCAGTGGCCTCCTTCTATGGGCCAAGAAAATCTGTCAGCCTTCAGGAAGCAGCTACTGCGTGCAGAGCCCTGCACTTAATTCACAGGCTGGGCGACCCAGAGAGTAGTAGTCAGATAGGACTCCTCCCTTAAAGGTGCTCAAAATCCAGGAATGGGGGCAGTTTCCAAAGCTGTGGGGAAAGCATAGTGTTGAGATATCCTGGGGCCCCTATTCAGATGGGAAGACAGGGAAGGCTTCCTGGAGGAGGTGAGGTCTAATCCATGTCTTAAATGGGGGGTGAAGTTAACCTGGCTTATTTCATTTAAACTTCACAATAGCAGAGCTGGGTAGAAGGTATCCCCTATTTGTAGTTGAGGAAACCAAGCCTTGGGGGGAAAAAGAAGTAAACCCAGAATTTTTTCATTCATTTGTTCACTCATTACTTTAGCCAATAAACATCACCAACTGGCTACTGGGTGCCGCTCAAAGCAGCCAAAAGGGCTTCTACTTTCCTTCCAAACCGTCTCACCTCCACAATGAGACCCACTACTCCTCAAGTCTCTTCCATCCCTTACTGAGCCCTGTGGGGTCTCCCTTATGAATGGGCTACCTCCAACCCCAGGACAGGTGTGGGAGCTCCCCCCTGCCTGGGATCCAGCAGCCCCCTTGAACCTACAGCTGCCCTGAGCAGTTGAACAAAATCCATGTGACCAGATCTTGTGCATGTCCACTGTCAGGCAACACGCTGGGAAACCAGGATGTAGGCAATGTAGGCGGTTCTGTCCCTGAGAAGCCTGGGTGGTTGGGAAGTTAGGTGGGCCCCTGCAGAGTTCCTTCTTGAGAGCCCCTTGGCTGGCTCTTCTGGCACGGGGACCTCCTTATTGAACCACACCCTCAGACCATGGAGCTGGGGTCCCACTGTGGAACCCTTTGCTGGCTCCTCCCCTC